ACGGTATTTATTACTGTATATAAAACAGATGTATATATTTTGGTCAATAAATTCTATGTTTGATAACTTAAAAATGTATTTTATCAATAGAGAGAGAGAGAGAGAGAGAGAGAAACTGTCGGACATTTTGACCATGTACAGATAACAAAAAAATAAATGCTTGCGTTTAAACCACGATGGTTTGTGTCTTTATCTCTATTGATAAAATACATTTTTAAGTTATCAAACGTTGAATTTATTGAACAAAATACATACATCTGTTTTATATACAGTTAATAAATACCGTAACCATAGCTATAGTAAAGTTCTGGCATTTCTCACAATTTTCGCATTATTTTACTGTTGAAACAGATTTTTGTATTGTTTTTGTTTTGCTGTTACTTTCGTAAGTCGTTTCGTGTTTGCAATTATATTAAATCTGTAAAAATAAATCAAAAAATCAAATTGAATTACGGCTTGTGTTGTAGAAATACAGACCACTTATTGTATTGAAAAACAAAATAAAAGATATTTATATGCATTAACTCTCTAATGAGAAATCAATCATAATTACCATAAAGGTTTTTGTTGCGCTAAAAATAAAACAACAGCAATCTGATATATTCTACATAACAAATGGATACATTAGTTTATATTATTGAATTAACCCTGCTTTATTTTATTTTATATGAATGTAGAAATATGTAATATATAATATGTAATAGAAATATCTAAAAATATATTTATAGCGTAGCAAAACAACAATCACATTTAAATCTCATATGAATGTGTAATATTAGTTTGCACGTGATAAATAAAAATTAGTTGCATTTAAGTTATCATGCTAATAGAAATGAAACAAGTACTACGCTAAAAATGCTAAAAATATTTAAAAATAAGGTGAATTATTGTGAAAATCATATAAATATAAAAATATTATATAACCACATTCATTGTGCATTAATAATACCAAACCGTTGTCTCAATCGTCTGTCATTATACAGAGAATGGCATCAATTGTGCTGTATTTCTGGTCTCATAAATACAGATTTGAGCACAAAATTGGATACTTTGTGAACGAATCGATCAAATAATATATAAATTGTATAGAAATTGAATGAATAAAATGAATTGCATTTTCACCCGTCTTTATATATTCCCCTTCCCGACAATCTCTCTCTCGTATGGCCTTTTCATAAGATTTTCATACCGTATATATCTATCTATACATTAATATAAAAAGGCTTTATATCTAAACTACTTTAACACTAAATTCAATTCTATTGGTATTGACTCTCTCTCTCTCTCTCTCTCTCTCTCTCTCTCAAGAGAGAGAGAGAGAGAGAGAGAGAGAGAGATGAGGCCAGGGATGCGGGGAAAGATGGGCAAAAATTAGAACAAGTGATCTTTTCTCTACTCCTTTGTATAAACATCTCTTCCCTTTGCTCTCTCACTCTCTCACGACTTTACATTTTGTATACAATATACTCTCCATACAGTTAACAATGATATACTAACCCATTGTTTATTATAATTAAAATTATTAATTCATATCTAAAATAAAAAAGCTAATACAATGTAATACATGTAATTTGAATAACTTGATTATTTGAATCATAATAATTGTATTTGATGTACAAAATTATTGGGTGTTTACAACCAGTGTATATAATATTTTCATTGGTTTTACAATGAATGTGAAAACAATTTTTAAGATTTGTTTTGTTTGTTGAGTCGCTTTGTATATAAAGTTTAATGGGATTTCTTAATTTTATTTAACGTTTGCAGCAAAAAATATATTGCTTTTGAAAATCCGTTTCATTAATACCGAGAAAAGCATTTGAAAATATATATTAAATGTTTAAAAGACATCAGAATTTAATGCAATCCTTTTATGATGTCTTTCCCTAATGATTGTCTATATGTTATTTCTATGGAGTGATAATACAGTTTTTATTTATCATGTTCTTTTAAAAATAATTTAAAATTTTTAATCTTAAAATTCAGAATATTAATTATAAAATTCATTTCATTTGCACATTTATTATACAAGAGTTTATTCAATTAACAACTATCTTATTAATCATGGGCATTTTGAAAGTCTCATATATTCATTAATAAGTATTTTTACCAAGTGCGATTTGTATCATTTTCTATATTTATCCAATTTGAAAACATGTTTTTATTTAAACATATTTATCATTTTATTTAAAGATATTATTTATTAGTTATTATTTGATATGTCATGATTATCATCATCTTAATTAAAAGATTTATGTTAGAATGTTGATCAATTTTTAAAATAGATATGATTCTCTAGATATAATTTACTAAAGTAATTAATGTAAAATTAGTAAAATATAATATATTACTCCATTTGATAATTGTGTCCATTGAATGTTGTGTGACCATGTGAAATATAGACCAAAAAATATTGTAATTTTTAATTACTGTTTCTAAAATAAAATATATTCCAACAGTGTTAATGTGTATTGTTAACTGACAACGTATTTATAAATAGAGTCACCAATAAATGAGTCATTTAATATGCAGACTAACGATAAATGAGTGAAAAAAGCACAATATCTAATACTTAACTTATGCCTTAAAAAGTTGTTATAACCATTATTATACGCATTTACGCATTTTAAAAAGTTGCCCAAAAGCATAAATAGGCATAATTTTGATCACTGACTATATATAAATAATAAAAACATTTATATGCCTATAACTGTAATATAAAAATTAAAATTAAAAATAACCGCTTAAAATTTTGTATAATTAAGATAAAATAAATGTATAATTTACAATTCTCCCAAATAATTTAAAATCATTTATACTCTATCTCTAAATAAACAAATGCTTTGTTATTAAACTCGCTAATTAAATATAACAATAATTAATTTAAATTAAATAACCAATATTGATCATGTTATAAATGTAGGGCCCGGAGTTTGATTGGACACCTGAGACGATAGGAGTGGTCGACTCGTCATTTTTCTGGGGCTATTTAGTGACACAAATTCCCGGCGGATTTCTAGCCGCCAGATATCCGGCCAATAGGTATGGTTTGATTGTATTTTAATTATACTGTATATATTTGCATCATGCTAATTCGATATATTTATACCTATGTCTCATGTACAGGGTGTTTGGCACAGCGATTGCAGTGTCAGCATTTCTAAACATGCTGCTTCCAGGGGCAGCCAAAATGCATCCGGGTATGGTAATGTTTGTGCGTATCCTACAAGGATTGGTCGAGGTAATATTTGAATTTGTTTTTATCTAGATTAAATGAATTGCAACTATATATATCTATATCTATACATAGCGTATTAAAATATATAATTTTTTTAAATATATCAATTTATGAATTTACAAATATTCTGTATTTTAGTAACTGATTTTGCCTATCTATAAATTGATCACGTTTATGTAATCGATTTATAAAAATAAAGTTTTATCATATTATCCATAATAATAATAATGTTAATAGCATGTATTGTACAGTATTTTATTATAGATTATATACACAGAACATATAAAAACACACATATATTCTATGACAACCAAATAGCATGTGAGCTGACTATTTGTTTTACATCGTATAAATTGCACACAAATCACATGTTAATAAGTTTTGTATAATTTTATATAATTTAGCTTTTAGTTCACTTTGCAATTACTTAAATTATAATGATAGTTTTGCCTTGATGAATTCTTATTCTATATAATGTTTAAATAGAGTTAGATGTACAAAATGTATGTCAACAGCAATTATTCTATCATAAATATTTTGTAATGAGCATGATAACATTAAGTTATTGGTTATAGTACATAAATATAAAAATCTATCATAACGAGTTTTAGTGCAAAATACATAATAAGTGAGTTTAATTTTTTTTACAAGTTAGTATAAAAATATTTATCACTTTAATAATTCAAAATGCTTAATAATTTGTAATTAAATAAATTACTAACTAATCATAAACTAATACATTTTATCGTACACAATAAGCAAAAAAAACAATATCCATTTACAACTCATTTAATGAATTAAAAACATGACAAAAATATACGTCCAAAACATAAATTACAAAAAATATATAAATAAATTTGATTTACGGTCACATTCTGTGAGCGAAAGCACTCACTATAACTCATGTCTTTATTATATCTCTATCTTTCACTTACTCTCTCCATTTGCCTCATCCCTATCGCCATCACCACTACTACTGGCACTGGTATGCGGTGTATAGGGTGTGACATACCCTGCCTGTCACGGAATGTGGAGACATTGGGCGCCGCCGTTAGAGAGGAGCCGTTTGGCGACATTGGCTTTTTGTGAGTGCTTTCGCTCACAGAATGTGACCGTAAATCAAATTTATTTATATATTT